TCATTCACAATCTGTAACACTGTTGCATACTATCACACTACATCTACTGTGACTTTGACCAACGTCTTTCGTCAAAGATCAAAGAAGTCAAAATACGCTCATTATTAAAATAAAAAAAAAAACTCCCATTATCGTTACATTCATAAATAAAATATTATTTATTTTGATATTTCTTACTTCTACTGTGACTTGCCCAACGTCTTATGTCTAAAAATAAAACTCCCATTATCATTACATTCATAAATAATATTTATTTTTTGATATTTCTTTATTTTCGCATGTAAAAATTTTGTCGTCCTTTTTTCTTTATTTTACTTTATACTCTATAAAAAAAAGTTATCAGGTGAGAAACACAAACGAAACTGTTATGCGCCTTAACATTGTTAACGGTAAAGTACATATTCTTTGCATGTAAATTTGCCGTCCTTTCTTTTGTCGTCCTTTCTTTATTACTTATTTCCTTATTATTATAAATTATTTATAAATAAAATCATAAAATCTTATTACCCATAAAAAGATACGCCCTCAAAATCTAGTCGCACCATCTGATTTTGTGTAAGATTCCACAGCTACTCATATAGGCTACAACTACGTATATGCATCACCTGATTATGATTGTTGCACCATGACTTAATTTAACCCTCTGATGTTGTGTTGTCTTACATTCGCCTCACACTACCCTTTTTGCACACACATGCAATTAATCTTAACTATGTATTCCTCACTCGAATAAAAAACTTTTTCGTTTATTTAGTAGGCAGATTTTTTTCCATCTTCAAAAAGAATCGTACCGTTTTATCGTACTACCTCTTCCCCTATCCACCTACGCTTATCAATAGACGCTTTTCTGCTCTTCTATTCATAATAACTTATAGTTTATTGTAACACTTTACTTCTCTATTAAAACAAAATGTCTCAACAAATTCTTGACATATACACTGTTGATTCTCTTCAAATCAGTGAATCAGTTTTCCATAGTGCTGATACCTCCTGGCTTACACAAAATCATTGGTCCGCTTTTCCTATATCTCCCATTGACTCAAATATAACAGATGTTCAAGCGCAATCTTACTGGCGTCCTTCTGACGCTCTACGAAGGACTTTGCGCAAACTTTACGAAAAAGACTATGCGCAATTTCCCTGCATCCCCTGTTCTTACTGTTCACGTTTATTATATCCACACTCTGTAAAATGGGTTATTAAAGATGACAACTTTGTCTATCCATTGCAGTCATCGTTCCCACAATTAAATATTATTACAAATCCACGCAACGAGTCAAAAATTGCCGTTTGCGATGGATGTAAATCTAATCCTAATAATCGACTATGTTATGTTCTCGCTGAAATACCTCAGTGTATTCACGATGTACCATATGCAAAGCGAAAGTATCTCTCTCCCGTCTATCTACATACCAGTTTAGGTCGTTCTGCTGGTGCAAACCCTTTTGTTGAATATCGCTCACTCACTGGGCAAATGGGTTATTCTAGAAACAGAAGAACGCTGACACTTTATTCAGGCATTATTGGTGCTTTTTTGAATGACGTAGACCTATCCCACTCTGATAATCGTTGGTATCATCCATCCTTGCGTTACGCTTGTGATTGGCTTCAACACAATAATCCTTATCTAATGGCCTATCATTCTTTGGCTTCACGTTTAACTACATCAAACTCTAATTTATCTCCTACCGTTTGGCCACAGGCCACGCATATTTCAAGCGAAGGTCCCACGCCTTCCGTAAAATTTTCAGACATAGTTATGCATTCCTATATATTTCCTGACGAAGTACATAATATAAATGAGGGGGCGAAGCCCCCCAAAAAAAATTCCCCTACCTAGTTATATCAAAAGTACTTACGTAAAATTGCAATAGGGCAAACATGTAAATCAGGTGAGAGAACCATCCACCGCGACCCCCAAAATCCTCTTTGTATAATCTGGGTATCAAGTATAATAATTTTTTATTTGAATTTTTTTCTTATGCTTATTGTAAGAGGCGACAAAAGCCACCTAAAATGTATAGCTAGCCGAATATAACAATCTCTCTGCTCCGGAAATTACTATTTAGCTAGGTTATATATATTCGATAAGAGCCAAAGATTTACTTTTCAGCTCTTTTTTGTATGGAGTAGTAGGAACCTTCCTTTTAGCCTCAAAGTTTCGCTTGTATTCTAAGAAATCGGCCTCATCCCATGCTCTCGCGCTCTTTTTTCCAATAATTATGGTTATCTCGCATTTCTTTGGCAATCTTAAATCTCCATTGTTCCAATTTTTCTTTCGACATTTGGAATTTTTGCTGTAAAAGGAATCTATATCAGATTCGTTTTTAATAAGAAATTCTGAAGATAGAGGAGTTAAGAATTCGGGTATTTTTTTCTCAACTGTGCTGGCTTCACTAATAGTAGTATCAACATGGCATCTATCTCGGACAAGACCAGCAGATTGATTATGGGCTGGTGTTTCTAACGGTAAAGCTTTTTCATCAATCGTATTACTAGATGAATCAGAAACTTTATGCTCTATTGCGGGGCAATGGCTCTTCGAGCCTACATAATCTGAAGTAGTGTTATTAGTAATAGGTACAGAATCGAAACGATCCTGAATCTCATCATTTATCTTTGGCTTATACGATGGAAGAACTGGATTTATAGGGCAATATTCAGGATTATCTAACTTCCTAACCATTACTTCTTGATTATCAAAACCACGACTATTATATGGTTTTCGGTTAATTTGATATGAATATTTCCAAATCTGTTGTCCTTTAGATTCTACCAATTTTCGCTTACTATTTATAGTATAACCACACCAATTGCCAACAATTGCATTAATTGCCTTTATAGCTGATTTAAGATCCGGCATTTCTTTTGCACGAGATCTAAAGCCAAAGAGCAATAAAGCTTGATTTCGAATTTCTATAAATTTCACGAGATGCCTCAAATGCAACTTTTACCTGATTATCAGAGAGAATGCGTTTATCATCTATACCTGTAAAACCAAGCGACTGTAAAGCCCTCTTATAGCTTCCCAATGATTCGCTGAATATATTTTACGTAAATCTTTTGCTACTGAATCCTCGAAATTATCTTTATCATTATGGCATGTATCTCCCATTGTGCGATATTTTTGGCCTTTAATTCTTCTATTGCACTCTCTTCATCATAACCTTGCTTGTAAAAATGAGATAGACGCAAGAAACGTTTTCTAGGTTCAGGTGGACTAAAATGTTCTACAAAATCTTTATTAAAGAGTTTATTCCAATCCTCAATGCTCATACCATTTCCAGCATAAAGATTCCACATATAAAAACGCTTAAGCGCCATGGTATCCGCAACTGAACGTTCTGAATCGAGTTTAAGGAATTCAGCTTCCTCAGGAGTAAGATTTCGAGAAGTGGCGACTGCATCAAAATCTGTATGTTTGATAACTGATACTTCGGCCTTAATTTCATTATGAACTGTTTTACGAATTCCTATAACTTCTCGGCTCTTATCCATTTTTATTAATTTGAGACTTGCCCCAGTACTAGCAATAAGGCTACATGAAATCTCGATAAAATTTCTGGTTGAAAGACGTTTCTGGTGCTCAACTTCAATAAATGATGTTACAGCCGGAGATTGATCAAGTTTATAGGAAATGCTATCTATATCCCATTCACGATGTCCTTTAATTGCTGTAGGCAAATCATTGGGCCGGGCAACTGCAAGTTCTGCACGAATATTTTCATGACCTGGTGAACGCGAAAATTCACCGGAAATTTTTTTGATAGTAAAGAGAAAGTATACGCTTTTCACAATCACGAATTCTGATCATCATCTGGATAAACGCTTCTACATTAACTGGAGTTCCAATATTTGTAATGCCTATAACTATGTCAAAGTGATTAGGTTTCTCGAAAAAAAATATTCGCTTCTACTGTGTTTGTATAAGCTACACAATCAAGTTCACCCCAAGCGGTATTAATATCTAAAAAGTCTTTTTTTTCGTTGTTTTCCATCCATGTCTCCATAATAACTATTTAACAGATATCAGTAATTGGACTTGCTCATGCCCTGCATTTATTAGTAACACCTTCTTAGTGTGTAAACATATCGTAAAGGCATGCAGAGACAGGAATCCATCATTCTTTCCTCAATATGCAACAACAACACGAAGACATGATTGTCCACTTATCTT